AAGACTAAACTGACCTCATCTCCACCCCCCAAGAAACAAGACTAAACTGACCTCATCACCACCCCCCAAGAAACAAGACTAAACTGACCTCAGTCCACCTCCATCCTAAAAAGACGATAATTCTATTAGATGTCAGTTGACTAATGTAACACGAACTGTGAAATTTTTAGATAATTTCAATTATAGGAGTACTGGACTATATCATTGCATCACTGTTACCATGACAATGGATCGATTGTATTCGTCATAAGACGCAATACATAAATTCTTTTTTTATAAATTTATTCTCGTTTCTCCAGTTATTTTATCGTAAGTAAAAAGATAGTGCTATATAAGATTGTTGCTTTATCAAGTTCTGACGAAAATCATGATTTGCGTGTTTCCGATTGGCTGGACACTTATATCACAAGTGTATAAATGTCTTATATGAGAATATATACTAAAGTATTTTGGTGACCGGTGTTTTTAATTGGTAACGTAGTCATAATGTGAAGCATGCGGGAGAATTAGTTTGACAGAGTGTGCAGTAATGAAGTACCATGATGTTGCTTTCAAAGAACAAAAGAAAGGCTTCGCAGCAGGTACACGAAAGTTTCCCGACAAGTACCCGAAAGATTCCCGACAGGTGAAACGAGTGACAGGTACCAAACGGGACTTTCAACCAGACATATTGACAAAAAGAGTTCGTTTTAGCGCGGAAATGGACTAAAATTTAAAGAGCTTGGGGTTTTATAGATCATTATCGATGGACCGAGGTTAGTTAGAAATGTATATCGTATTTTGTAGGTTTATTTCACATRGCAAAATTGCCATATACCATGTAAACTGAAAGTCAACAATGTTGATTGAAATTCACGTTTTTTTTTGTCTTCATGTAATTATACMAGCGTTGATGCACTAACACAGGATGCAGGGCTTAGATTTTCGCTATGACTTCATCATTCTGCAACGATTTGACGCTGTATTTTAGAAATGAATGTCGCTGTAGTTATGTTTCCCRACATCCACCGCTGTGCTACTTTGTCTTCCCATCATGCATTGTAATTTAGTTTGGTTAATGTAAAACCTTTTTTACATCATAGGGTCCTTTTCATCCCGTACAGCACGGTCCATTAGTCGCCGATCAACGTGGCCGTTCATGCTCGCGGTGATCGTCGGGATATCCATATTCTTCTATACAAGTAAGTGCATTCCATTGCTTATCTATAAGAAGATTTGTTTAGCTAGAGAGTCTTTATTTTATTTATTTTGTAAGCTTCGTCAAAATGTGTGCTCAGCAGAGCGTGAGGTCCAATAAGAGGCCCCGAGAGTATTACTACAATAGTTAATGTCCGTGTTGAAATGTCCGAATGATAGAATACCATTCATTTCAGATTTCCCATGCATTAACTGGGACAAACACATAAGGCACCCTATAGCACCAAGCAATTATGGCTCCAGGCCTGGCTACCTTATTAACCAGTCGTTGCCATGCCTACGTGACGCGTTCAAGGACATCCTTCTTGTGATTGTGTATAACTATCCTTACTACAAGAGTATCAAACACTTTAAAGACTTCTATAAACCTGCCTTTCCAAATATAGTGTTTTGCGGTCCGCTTGGCGACAATAAGTTATCTTCAGGCTTAGTCATGACGGTGGATGTTTACCGCGGAGTCCTGGGTTATGAGTGTTTAGGAAAGGCAATACGTCAGCATCCGGGATACGAGGGCTATTTTTACATAAATGATGATGTTATTCTCAATTATTGGAACTTTTATGACTTTGATAAAACTAGTATTTGGCAGTCTCCGAATGTATTTTACTCGAYTGCGATGTATGGCGCCATTGATGACAAGTGGTATTGGTGGAGATCAAACTTTGGCCAAGCAAACTGTCGACAAGCATATGAACACCTTACCAATATAAGCTACGGTCAAGCAAATCTAGGTCACCTAAAAGAAAACGGTAACGGGAGCCTGCGATGCTTCAGTGGTCGTTCAGATGTTCTGTATTTACCTAAACAACATGCACAAACATTCGGCGTATTATCATTCYTATTTTACAACCATCGAGTTTTCCTTGAAATCGCAGTACCCACAATGCTCAGAATCATCGAGAAACAATCCAACATTAAACAGTTACCAGGATATTACATACCAGGAGACGTCAGGAAACAGGACAAACGAGTTACGGACAGCCGGTTTTTCTGGTTTATATACTTAACAAAGAAAGATAATTGGTTTATCCACCCCTTTAAATTACATCAAGCTAAACTAGATAGCAACTTTAACTTTATCATGTTAAGGTACTTTCTTATTGAAAAGACAAAGTCTTTAACGACATGTTCAAACAATATTACAACCAAARCAAAAGCAGCCTACCAAAAATAAGCAAATAAAATACTGAAATACAACCASCATCGATACGAAAGTATAGCCTCTACATCAGCTTTTATAAAATTTTAATTAAAACAATTCTTACTTTAACCCAGGTACAAAACACCATCCACTGAAATGCACTTTCCAACTTTACAATAAATAAATACTCCATAAACTATTTTGATGAAAATGCATGGGCTATAGTCCACCAAAATGGGCAAAAATGACCGATTTTCGATGAAAATGCATGGGCTATAGCCCACCAAAATGGCCAAAAATGATCGATTTTTGATGAAAATGCATGGACTATAGCCCACGAAAATGGCCAAAAATGACCGATTTTTGATGAAAATGCATGGACTATAGCCCACCAAAATGGCCAAAAATGACCGATTTTTGATGAAAATGCATGGACTATAGCCCACCAAAATGGCCAAAAATGACCGATTTTTGATGAAAATGCATGGACTATAGCCAACCAAAATGGCCAAAAATGATCGATTTTTGATCAAAAAGCATGGACTATAGCCCACCAAAATGGCCAAAAATGACCGATTTTTGATGAAAATGCATGGACTATAGCCCACCAAAATGGCCAAAAATGACCGATTTTTGATGAAAATGCATGGACTATAGCCCACCGAAATGGCCAAAAATGACCGATTTTTGATTTTTTGACAGAAATACAATGGTTTACAGTGGGGAAAGTGATGTATTTTATTGATGTCTTTGTATGTGCTGTGGTCATAAATACAAGGTTACAGGTATATTAGAGAATGCTGTACGTGCAGTGTGCTATTTCCATATCAGTTCGATTCGAATCACAGTGCAATTGGTTTTCAAATATTTACAACATATCAGATTCCATATAAGGTTCTTTGGTGGGAGACCGCTTTTCTACAAAGTCGATGGTCATTGATGGCTTTGTTTGGTAATAAGGATGGGGTGGGTAGGGATCTTTTTCAATCGATGAGAAGGAGTTTTTATACAATGAGCTTTGGTTGTGATATGGCGATTGTACTGGAGACGGTGTCTGTTCTTTGGAAGGGACTGGTTGGACATTATCAACCTTTTTGAAGGAGGAGTCGGCTGCAGGATGATTATGTAATCTGTACAAGAAGAAGACCACCACAGCAATAAAGATGATGATGAACACGCCAAACAGACACGAAACTATGATCAATGCCATCTTGACTCCATTTTCATCTGAAACCAAAATTTTTATCTGAAAAATTGTACTTGATTTAAACACAAGGTAGCCATTACAATGGTAACGGTTGCTATAGGTCTAAATCATCATCGTTCACCATGGTAACGGTTGCTATAGGTCTAAATCACCATCGTTCACCATGGTAACGGTTGCTATAGGTCTAAATCACCATCGTTCACCATGGTAACGGTTGCTATAGGTCTAAATCACCATCGTTAAAGTTGATATTATAGGACTGTCTAGATTACCAAGGTTACCTGATGGTGGGTTTGGCGGGTTTGGTTTTGGTGCTATGTTTTCCTTTTTCCCAGTTTTTGGGAGGAATTTATTCCAGAACGCCATCTTGTCAGGTCGTAACTGGTTCTCTACAGTAGGGAAACTTCTTAAAGCCATGTACTTTTGAGATTTGATGTCGTATTTTGGCCAAAACGGGTTGCTTGGGTTTCTTGGAAGGACAATGAAAACAATGGTCAAAATATGAATCAAACAGAAAGTCCTACTAATGAATATAAATAGTCGATAATAGTTTTGGATATATTATATAAGGAAGTAGCACTGTGAGTATGTCGACTTACCCAGTAGTAATAAAGTTCACCCAGTAATCCACCATTGTTTTGGTCAACCCTGATATGGTATTCATGGTGGGCTTGGGGAAGATATATTGCAATTCAGAACCATGAGGTACATTCATCCACGCAGGAACACGATTACCAAATTCGTCGTACGTCGAACGGTATTCAAACTACAATAAAAATACAACTCGTTCGTGAATACTTTAGATCCTCTTTTCCCTCTATTTATTCTGGTGTAGGACCGAGAGTTTTATATAATAAATAGAGAATGATAGGCATGATGGAAAAGTATARTGTAGAAGGTGCTGGAAGAAGCGTTGACGGTACAGCGGTCTTACTTGGTAGAAGTATACAGCAGCTTCCTTCTTGGCAAACGCATTGACAGACTGTACTGCCGGAGATGTGTACATGGCATCTGTAAGCAAGTCTAAGTAACCTCGTCGCGTCTTATTGACGTCATCTGGTTTTGACCAATCAGAATACACGAATTCAATAATCTCAGGAACCTTCTTGTCTTGGTGACGAAGCCAGGTTTTCTCGGCGATCGCATGAAGAAACCTTGTACGTGTTAAGCCATGAGTCACATCAACTCCAGTGTTGATTCCTGCATCAATACAATGCAATTASCATTCATGATTTTACTATGTTCTATGCCTGGCATAGTTTACCTGGTATCGTTCCTAGAAAACCACTCCCATCATCGTTCGCCACACCAGTTAGAATACTTGTCTTGTTAAACCTTCCTTCTTCAAGTAACTTTGGTGGAGAGTCTGAAAAATTCCATCAAATAATGGCCTAAGTGACATTACAAATGCTTTTGTGTAAAAAGATAAATTTAAGACCGTAAAAAAGTAGATGAAATAACTTGCTGACGTTTCGGACGACGTTAATGGCGTCGGAGTAGACAACGAAGGACTAACGTCCGAAACGTCAGTAAATTGTTTCACCTACTTTTTTACGGTGTTAAATTTATCTTTTTACACAACTGTTTCTTTAGAAACACCGACGCAGCTCACACTAGTTTACCGCTATAGTTCCCACCATTTTTACAAATGCTTTTGTTGTTTTTCGCATAACTGTCCAAAGATATGTTCTCTAGCTAATCTGTATTTCTATAGATTAATAGGATGTATGTTATGCTGTACTAGATGTTTCCAATGATGTTGACAATGTCTTTATATATGGTGAAAATGTTGTTTAGGTTAAAGTCTGCAAGGTTAGGGGCTCTACCGACTGTTCTCGATCCTCTAAGGCGTGTTTTTGTGGAGCAAAAGACTTCTGCTCTTATCCATAAAGAGTTGGTAGCATTGTTTTTGCTGCAATCAGCCAGATTACTGCGGCTTATTTTGTGTGYTGAAAACTTACCCGGTAAAACCTTCCCATCGACCACCGGGGCCCAATTAGCGAATATCGCCGACGGATGCATCTTGGCTTGTGCTCGAATGTAGTCTTCAATCGTACGTCTTTTCATACAATTTTTAAAGTCGYTGCTTGGATGAGGACACCGAAGTAATCCAGCAAAATACCTGGAAATAACCAAAAAAGGTGGAATAAATGCGGAATACGGAAAAAATGCGGAAAATGGTGGAATAATTTGTAATTYATTTTCGTTAGTTTTCAATGAGGACAAGGACTTAGTGTTCACACTTCGACCAAGTTCCCAATGAAAATATGAGTTTCATTTCTATCCATTGAAATTTCCATTCAGTTCATTTCCCATGCATTCTTACCAGGCCTTCTGTTTCGCCTCGTCTTTTTCCAAATACGAGTAGTGACCACYGGCGAAGCCACTCATCATGATCACGTTATGGTACAGACCGCTGGCCAGTGGTGAAAGCATCAGAATACCAACCAAACGCGACCCCGCTGACCACCCACCAACAGTAACTCGATTTGGATCGCCTCCAAACCTATGATATGTACCACCGTAATCAATACCATAGCTGAATAAATAAACCTCTATATCCGCCAGCAACATGCGCATATCTCTCGACACTTAAGTCTCTCACCATCCCCCCCCGAAACCCCCCCCCCGCCTAGAAATGAATCCGCAGTGTACAAATCTATAGCAGATAATAGGGTTTCAGCCCGTAATGCTAAGCAACAACGGCTGAAATACGAGGTGGTTTGAATTCATTAATAATAGTTTATGAGTGCTATCCCTCGATATTGACTTAGTTAATGCTAATCTACAGAGAAAATTAAACATAGGTCGTTCTTGACTATTCAATATTTGAATAGCGATTCCATGATCTGGCGTACATTCATCAAACAAGTTGAACCCGTATAGAACTAATCTAGACATTACCTATAAATTATAAATGTTCATTGTACAATTTGTTACGATGTCAAGTTTAAGAAGGCTTCATATCTAATCGTTTGCCTCGCATGTGGTCTTAAATTAAAGTCACTCCATTTTATTTATAATATTAGTAACCATAGCAACAAAGCACAGCTGGTTTTGACAAAATACTGACGGGAACAACTAATTRCAGCCTTCAATCGACAGACTTTTAACTCCAACCTCCCACCGTGCAACTCACAAATAACTTTTGGCAAACATGTTTTTTGACAAGAAAATCACTTTTTTCGGTAAATATTTTTATAGGTTCGTAGCCACCTAAATGACCTGAGCACAGCTTGTCAAACGATTTTGGAAAAGTTTCACTAGTCACTACAATAAATTCATACCGTTGAAAAGAATTGCTTCATACACTTATCTTTCAACCAATCACAAGCCGACCTAAGCGTTGGTCGTCGTGCAATAAGYTTCAATATGGCATAAGACTTTAACTAATTGCATTTTGCATAAAAAAGAAACTTTTCATCGATTGMCTTTTAAATACTTTTACTTAAATCGTATAAGGTTCGTTTTAGAGGTAACAAAAAAGATTTAAATAATCTCTTCATGTTTATGCGTAACTTTTTATGAATCAGGAAACGAGACATACTTTAACTGTTCCATAACAACAAAATATCCGGACGTTAAGAATAMGATTTGATCCATATCGCAAAGAATTCTGTGCGTTAAACATAAGATAAGGCCTTCTATAGCCGACTTATGCAAGATTTGTCACAATTGGMAAATTCCTTGAATGATCCATCTATTAGAACTGTAAACATTTCTAGYCAGTAGYAATAGTTTGTAAGCGATGCTTTTGACATTTTTATCGTTCTTTCTCGTCCAAAATGACTGACCCTGTCAATCACTGTAAATACTGAACAAAAACAAAGTTTTTCTGTTTAAACGATTAAAAACCTCTTCTCGTCAAAAAACTGTTTTGACTTAAAACTATTTATCAAAGGTCGTGTTCATGGTAGCTTGAACAAAAAGGACGCGAAAAATGGCTTCAGTTTCAAAGATACCAAACAAATCACGATAAACTAAATATATCCACCTGAACAGTATCACGGCGACTAAAAACAAAAAAAAATACTCACCTTCTCAGATTGGATCAGTATCTCTTTGCTTACAACTTTGATCAAGACACGATTATCACGATTTTCAGTTAATATATTTGATACACAAAAAAAGCAAATAAAAGCAGATTGTATCTATTTATGAACATGKCGGCAAAATGTTCGTGAAATCGAAACATACCTTTTGATATTGTTCTTGAYCCAACGAAGAGACTCAATCACATCTAGCAGACCATAATTACCATCTAAATCCTCTTCACCAAGACTCAAGAACCCTAGTGCACCAAGACGATAATTGATGGTTATAACAATCACTTCGCCTTCCGTAGCGAGGATACTACCATCGAAACTAAACCCTCCGCCAATGTTAAACCCTCCTCCATGTAACATGACCAGTACGGCGTACGACGATCGTTTATTCTGGAATGCTGTTGTATTAGGAACGAAGATATTTAGATTCAAGCAATTCTCACTTATATTTTCAGGTTTAATGTTCAATGGTGGGATTTTCGTTGGTTGTGGACATATCTTTCCAAAGTGCGTAACCTGAAGCGTATAATTCCATGGTGTAGGTTGACGAGGTGGCTCAAAACGTTTAGCTTGAGCATAAGGAATTCCAAGGAATTTAATCAATCTCTTTCCTGTTCGCAGTATGATGCCTTGCCCTCGAACAGATCCAGAAGTAGTCGTTATCACATCGTATGCAACTGCTGAATTCACTAATGTAAACAGTACACTAGCCCATACATAGCTAGTCATACTCGGCATTATTGTTAAAAAGRTCCAAAAAAATCTCCCAAAAGCAGACACCGCCGGGTTCGCAATCAACCTGTGACTTAACCTTTCTCGTTTTCCTTTTCCGTTTTTGTTDCCAAGATTCAACCAGTAGAATAGTTGGCTTTATTTGTATGCGATAATGACTCGCAACAAAAGAAGCGTGTTTTGTGTTGGGTATAAAAAGACTACGGTTTGACGCTACTTGAACGTGACATAAMACCATCTATTTACCTAACCAACACAACGCCGACTTCTTTATGGAGAAATGTCATTATGGACGCATKTTTTACCATTATAAACCTTTTACAAGTTTTAAATGTTTAGATACCGTGATGTCATCTASCAAATATAATCGACAGATGTGAATATTATGTAGGATACGGAATGTCAACCGGGATCCCTGTGCGCAGTAACAGGTGAATATTTCACGTCAATACAATCACGCTATCTATCAAGATATAAGTATGTTCAAAATGAACCCTTTTATTTGTCGTCTAATTGCACAATACGTTTTATCCTAAATAAGCAAAATTCCAAAGAGTATTATTTCTTTGAAATTTAGCGAGAAAATAGCGAAAARCAGATTTATTTCACCCAWTAATAATRTACGATATCAAATGACTGTATTCCCCGCGGACCAACTGTATCCGTGTTAAAATTAAAGTCGAAATTTAATACAGGGATACCAGTATTAACCTAATTGAACAAAAAAGTTGTGAGGTTCAAAAAGATGTGATATCATCGAGGATGAAAGTGAAGACAATTTTGGGCACCTGAAASATATTCACTTAAACATGRAAACATCATGTTTCACTTCAGTAGACGAGCCCATGTACAGACAAATTATTTGCCTTTCCATACTTCATTTATTTATTTGTTAACTTCCACCATTATTGTGGATTACACAACAGGACGGGGTCCCTGTGTGCCCTCTCTTCCCTTTAGTGTTTTCTTCGACGATGCAGTCTTCATGAATCTCATGGTAAGTTTTATCAATCAGGTGTAGTCAGTGTGTGCGTGGCGTATCGGTAAACAAAATATTCGCCTCTAAGCCACAAACATCACGAAAACGGTAAACTAAATGGTGGACGAAAAGAAAGGGATAATATGAACGTTAAGAAATGACAACCATGTGGGATA